ATCAAGCATCCTAGAATAGTGAAGACGAAGATTTGTGGATTAGCATATTGTCAAAAGCCACTAATGTTAATTCAATATTTGTCTTTATGTTATCTTTCACCAGATTAGCCTTTACATAGCATTATAAAATATTTATACAAATTTTATTAAAATAATCTGGCGTTACTTTGTGGGAATCAATTATATTAAAGATGTTAAAAAATTATTGTTATCTAAGATACGCGTAATAAAATAAAATTATGTGTCCTAGTTTGAAGAGCACTTTCCGCCCTCCCTCTAAGGGCACACATCATCATCATCATCATCATTACAGCCCTTCACAAGTCCACTGCTGAACATAGGCCTCCCCCAAGGAATGCCACAAAGCACTGTCCTGAGCCGCCTGCATCCATCGACTACCTGCATATCTTACCAGGTCGTCACTCCATCTAGTAGGGGGACGCCCTACACTTCGTCCGCCGGTACGAGGCCGCCACTCGAGAACCTTCCTTCCCCATCGGTTATCATTCTATTTTGTTACGCGTATCTAAGCTAATTAATTTTTTAAATCTTTAATTTATTTAAACTGTCAAAATGTAATCACGTGGTATCGAAACATAAAACAATTTCTTTGTATAGAGGATTTTAATACTCCCGACGTTCACTGGTCCGAATAATCTGAATATAATTATATTATCCCTTTTCATCCACGAGGGTAAATAACTTTTCTCTTTTGTGATTCCCTTAGAATATGTAATCTTGATAATTATAACAGTATTTCAAATGTTTATTCTTTTTAGTTTATGAAACCTAGCCTTTGTGCCGCTTAGATCATCACTATCCCCCATTGTTACAGTTGCGAAAGTTAAGTTGATTAAAATAAACTCAAAAAAATTTTAAGAACGAAAACCTGAAACGAACTGATTTCTTTAAAAGTAATTTTTCATAAATAAATCTTGAATTAATATCAGTTGAATGGGATAATATATTTTCAATTCATAATGATATTGATAGCATGACTGACGCATGTTATACAGAGGTCAGAAATATTATAACAAAACAATACACCTATGACGAAAACTGACACAAACATTTATCCAGCGTGGTTCATACTAGCTTTAAATCAAAGCTTAGAAAAAAACAAACGAAAATATCATCATCCTTTCAAAAATATAAGAATCCTCGGGATTATGACATATTTTTCATGTTACGTACAGGTATATTAAACTTATCAATGATGTCTATAGTAAGTAAATTAATTTTCGTCTGTAGAATCTTCCTTAAATGATGACAAAAAATAGTGCGTTATGTTAATAATAAGAAATATAATTCTAATAACTTTCTCAAAATGATGAAATACCACATCTCATCAATTCACTTTCGATGAAAAGAAATATGTCACCTTTTTTCTAATTATTTTGGGTATTGTGTCAGTGAATCCAATGGAGCCTAGCTCATCTTTTTACCACAATATTTATGTACTTGTTGTAATTCTATTGCTAATAAAACCATTATTCTATGAGAATCTAATGTAAATTATTTTTTTACCTACCCAAAAAATCTACTCGTCACAAGAGTGAAAAACTAGAATACAGTCAATAATCGGGTTGACTACCTGAACGTAAGTTATTAAGATTTCAAATTCAGATTCGCTATTACCCTGAGGACTAAAATGGGATGCTTCATTACCTGTAAGCTGTAAATAGGGCTACCGATATCTGTTACTCAGCAATGTGTGGAGGGCCACATAACGCTGCTATGTCGCCCCGTCGCAACCACAGATGGATCGAGTGGCTCATTACATCAATACTTATTTTCCCGTACATGGGTAGATCAAAGGGAAGAGGGCATCCCTCCTGTCACAGAGATAATTATTTTATATACCACTGACTTCTATATCTACAGTATCGGTACAAATATTTTGTAAGGACTAGCTACTTACAAAATATTTTAAGCGCCGCTATTGTTCGTACCGGGAACTAAAATTGACATAATATCCTTAATTCTGTTGTGTTTTTTAAATCGTATCTCTGTATTTTAAACGTTTAAATGATAAAATGAAAGCATTTTGTGTAGTTTGAATATGTATGTTTTTAGTACTCGTAATATAACAATAATAAAAACTCGTTACTTATCTTAATATCGTAATTACACAATAAAATTCAAAAGGGTTGTCGAGTTTCTTTTCTATAATACTTGTACGAGTAGTGTTCTTTTCTACCCATATCTGTTAACAACCAAAGTCGCCTACAACAGATAATTATCAAATGTTTCTGTTGTTATTGTTTCACAAACTCTTGAGTAATAATATCCAATATTGGCTACTTTACGTTTTTGTTAGAAAATCGCAAATTAAGTTATCTGAGAGTAAGACCAAAGAGTAAATAGACAGTTAAAGTTAGTTACTCTGGTGTAACATTGTATTTGGTGGAATCCACCCTTTTTATATAGGATAGGATGACAAACGAGCACACAGTTCACCTGATGGTAAGTGGTTGCTGTGAACCATAGACATCTACATCTATCCTCCATAAATAATCAAAATTCAGATGCATTGTCACTCGTGAGGACTAAGATGGAATGCCTCTTTTCCAGCAAAAAGGGTCTCCGGATGTAGAGACACTCACTATACGAAACACAGCAGCGTTAAGCTGCTATTTTACGCTGGTATTCTGTGAGAGCGTGGTCCTTCCCCAGTCAAGCCGACCCATTCGTGCTACAACTATATTACTAATGTAGCTGCAGCATGGCTCTACCACGTATAAATACATATTTTTAGTACGCGGGAACCCTTAATAACATATTTTTATTACGCGGTTTAATAAAAGTGTAATTATAATATGGTGCTCTTTAATGTAATGTTGTCTCGTCACGGTTCTTTGAACGATGTCATCTGAAGAGCTTGTGTCTCTATAAATGTTCCCTTGGTTTTAGAGCTTTGTAGAAAATTTAGACACGATGGTAAGGGACCCGACGATATAACTTTGGAGGCTTCGGAGAGAGATGCTTTAGTGTTTGATACTACTTGCAAAGACACTTTGGCAGTCTCTCATCTAGGGGTATCTCGTTTAAAGTAGAGGTGACATCAGAGGCATCTGAACTAAGTAAGTAGCCCAAATATGAGTCTCTGAGAGATGAGTACATACGAATATTTGGACCATTTGATGTAGAGACTATCAGTCCGTGTGGTTCACGTGTGGTGAAATTCCTAAAAAACTATCCGTGACTGATCGTCGCTGATGATGATAAGAGGGCTGCTTATTCTCTCACTCAAAGGCTAAGTATAGCCATTCAGAGGGAAAACACAGCCAGCATTCTTGGCGCTTTACTGGATGGTAGTAGGACTGTATAATAATTTCAGTTATCAGTTTTTTGTATCATAGTTTTTTAATATTGTAATTTGAATTTGGAAAATGAAGTTGTAAATAACTGATGACTATGTAATTTAATGTTTATATTTTTTTTATATCTTGTTAGGTGGTACCCGGCGCATTGCTGCTGCAGAAGAATTAACTGAAGAAATATCTTATTTAATTAGAAATGATAATACAATCATTGAAATTGAATGATCTACAATTTTAAAATACGACACGTTAGTACAATACGCGTGCCACCTAGTATAAGTTAATTGTAATATGTCTATAACTTGCACGCAAGTGCATGTAATAAGTTGACAAAGTTTAACCGCAATGTGATGAACAGTATGGCAGGGCATAAAATGTTAACAAACAAACATTGACTTTTATACATAAGAAGATACAGTTTATTCTGTCTATAGACAGACATGTAAATAATTAGAATAGGTGTTGTTTTAGCAGCTGATTTGTTTTCTATAATACTAGAACCGAATGAACGGTTGACAATAAATCGTTTGCAAAATTATGTTTCTATTTTGTATAGTTACTTACACCGGTTAAATATTTAACCGGTGTAAGTAACATTGCTCAAATGGTGCCTTGCGAATGAACCAACATACTCAATGTAACATACCTTGAAACAACATGTTATGTTATGAACATGTTAACATATTCTGAAATACGGAGCAAAATCCGTTCTGTAGTTACCAATAAAAAGGTAGATAGATCAACGCAGCGTCGATCTTGGTTTTATATGAGGTATAAAGCTTGCGTCTAAGGCCTGGGTATTAATTGATACATTTGTTTATTGTATGGCATTATATTAATATGATAAAAATAGAATAGACGTTACAGGTAGGTCTGGGTAACTTTTATCAATATATTTTATCACACTGTCTTATCTCTATTATTAGTTCCGTGAACTCTCACTTCTGCTCTCAGCGCCATTATGTCACGGTGTACAGCCAGTCCATATATAGAGGTCAGTGTTATAGTTTTATTAAAAACACCAAAATGGCATTTTTAATAAAATCAGTTTCAAATTATGAACACGGTACTACGCTTCAGAATATATAACTGTAGTGACAATAACCTATGACATATTTTTTTATTGTTAAACCGCTATGAATAAAGCTGAAGATATTGTTAGCTGTATGATGATAATGACAAGGCTTTCAGAAGTTGAACAGAGTGCGGAAGATATAATTGAAAACAACAGCAAAATAATAGTAAAGCAAGCGGAGTCCAAACTAGGAAAGCATTGGGTTCGAATCCGTCATTCGACTTCTGTTGAGAACCAACTCCTAACACAAGCATTTTAAGAGTACTAGGAGTGCTATTAGTTGAAAATATAAAAGTGCCACAAATATCTGCTTTTATATTACTACTCATAATACTCGTTCGAAACCCGTGCCCGATGTAACGTTCATGTAACATACGTGCATTATATTTTTTTAAGCACGAAAACTTTCAGCGCGAATCACCAAATTGTTTTAAATCTTAAGAAGATTGTAGAAAAAGTTAAAAGGTTAAATGATAAACAGAGAAAAAATATAAACATGCAGTTAAGGAACGGAGCATTTTATATTTTGATAAGAAAAGTGTTGAATATAAAAGGTGCATTCACAGATTGATCAGGCACAGTTTTCTTCTAGACTGGGAACAATGAAGACGCTGTTGGTACTGGCAGGTCTTGTGGCCCTGGCATTGTCAGGAGCCGTTCCGCAACAGCAGTTCAACTATAAGACCAAAACTGGTGAGTTTTTTTCGGTGTATAAATGTTTCTTACCTTTTGAAAACCAAAAAAAAGCAAACTATTTTTAATATCTGTTATAATGTAGCAAAGTGTTGTGTACAGGCGGCCTCGTTGTTCTAGTGCACGTAAGCGCAACTGCTGGCTTGGTTTGTTCTATTAAAAATGATCAGTAGCAACCCGGACACCTTGTGCAACAGAAAGCATGTTAAGCCGTAGTTATTGCGCCTGATCACGTTCTGGTCGTATTGGATTGCCGTCCCATTGGACTATGAAAGTGAGGGAATAAAGTGTGCACCTGCGTTTGAAGCTCACACATGCACTATAATCAAGTCCCGCAGATGACTAGTATCCGTTAAGACTGGCCGCCGTTAACAAAATTTGGTCTGGGATATATTATTATTATTATATAGAAATGAAGAAAATGAAGAAAAAAGCTACAACTACTATTTTGAAATATACTCGTATGATAGGTGTTTTAAACTCAAAAATTATTTAGCAGATTATATAAAACGTGGTAGTTGTAGCACGGGTCGGGTCATCTCCACCGGGGTAAGACCACGTTCTCACAGAATACCAACGTAAAATAAAAGCTTAATGCTGCTGTATTTCGTATTGTGAGTGTAGAGAACCGGAGATCCTTTTTACTGGTAAAGAGGCATTCTATATTAGTCCTTAGGATGTTACCCCTGAGGACTAAGATAGAAACTAAATAAACACTAAATACACTAAATAATACGTAACTTAAATAATACGTACGTAATAATAAATGTCTATTAGGCACAGCCTCTACTTACCATCAGGTGGAATGTGTTCTCGTTTGTCACCCTTATAAAAAAAATCTACGTGCAAAATATTGCTGTGTTTCGTATGATAAGTGACGGGCACTAGATACCCTTTTAACTTCGCAAAGGGGAATTATATCTTAGTTCTCAGGAGTATTCTGCATTTTGATTTTTAAACGAGGATAAACGAAGGTGTTTATGGGTCATAGTATATCACCTGAAAAACACAGATACTTCCTAGATTTTGTGCTTGTTTGTCACACTCACTTCTATAAAAGATGGCGCTATAGATGATAGATATTTTAAATCGATTCATATATTACAGTCGATGCCGAATTCGTAACGAAACAGAAGAAAATATTTGAACTTTTCTTTACTCCAAACCAAATCGACAAAAATGCAGAGTACTACAAAATCGCCAAAGAATACAACATTGAAGCTAACATTGATAACTACACGGTAAGTATTTATTTATTTTAATTATTTATTATTGGATAAAAATTGTTACATTATTGCTATACGGCACAGCGAAAAACCACGCAGGTTTGTGTTGCGTGCCGTTCCGTCTACATTTACAAAAATGGGGATAACAACTAATATTTGTTAAGGAAATAACATTTTAATTTATACTTTATGTTAACTTCATTAATTTCACTTTTAAATTTATTATCCAGACCATTTATTAAACTAGGTATTATGTATGAACTGGTGCGCTCACCATATTTATTTTTGGATGGTATTGTTACTAATTTTTTTTGAGTTACTTTGCGGGTCTGAATTTTGTTTGAGACTGTATGTTGTATACCTAAATTAAAGAATTGTTCTTTTAACAGTTGATATTGGACTTTATCATGGATATTGAATACCTTGCAGTGTTTAAATATGAAGTTTTCATTTGTTTTTTCCTGAAGTTTAAGTATTTATTAAAATATATTTTAACGAAATGCAACCATGACTTCAAGGTGATAAGACTCATTTTCTGCCTTGGAATCTATCCGGTTAAATATCACCATCTTAATTATTTCTGTAACTACGTGCACTGTTGTGTTCCAGTCTGAATGATACAGAAAGTCGCCATTACAGGCTATGGGATATTCAACCTTATTCCTTAAAGGTAACAACACGTCTGTGGCCTTCTTTGTTCGAAGTTGGTTACAAGTCTCTAAGAGCTGCAATAGCCACTTACAATCAGGTGGACTATTACTACTTCAATTTTGTATAAAATGGCATTTCCTTCAATGTTAAATATCCTTCCTAACTGTGAATCATAAGGAAAATTATTAAATTTGAATTTTATTTTTTTACAGAACAAGAAGGCTGTGGAAGACTTCTTAGTATTGTACAAATACGGATTCTTGCCGAGAAATCACGTTTTCTCTATTTTCTACGACAAACAAAAGGATGAAGCCATCGCTCTATTCCACCTGTTCTATTATGCCAAAGACTTCGAAACCTTCTACAAAACTGCCGCCTATGCACGTGTGTACTTTAATGAGGGACAATTCCTGTATGCGTACTATATCGCTGTGATTCACCGCGCAGACACTAAAGGAATAGTTCTTCCTGCTCCTTACGAACTTTACCCTGAATTATTTACAAACACAGATGTTCTCTACAGAATGCACAGCATTAAAATGCAAGGCGAAATTACCGATCCCGCATATGCTTCTGACTTCGGCATAGTCCGTGAAAATGACTACTACGTTTTTAACACTAACTATTCCAATTACTATTCTTACGGTAGTGAGGAATACAAGTTGTCTTACTTCACTGAAGACATTGGCTTAAACTCTTACTACTACTACTTCAACTCGTATTTCCCATTCTGGATGCAAGGAGACATCTTCCCAGTATGGAAAGAACGTCGTGGTGAAGTTTATTTCTACTTCTACAAGCAGTTGCTTGCCCGTTACTACTTAGAACGTCTTAGCAATGGACTAGGTGAAATTCCAGAGTTCTCTTGGAGTAAACCAATCAAATCTGGCTACCTTCCTTTCCTATCTTATTACTACTCTTTCATTCAACGACCTGCCTACTACCAAATACCTTATGAAAGCAATGTTCAAGAGTTACAGTTCCTTGACACCTATGAAAAAACTTTCTTGCAATATCTCGAGAGAGGCTACTTCAAAGCTGTAAGTATTTTATTTTATATGTATTAATAATGATTTGTTATAGTTGCAAAAGTTCAGATTAATATTATAACTGTTTACATTTACAGTACAATCAAGAAGTTGATTTTAGCAACTCAAAGTCTGTTAACTTCGTTGGCAACTTCTGGCAATCTAATGCTGACTTATACGAGAAGTTTGGACCTAGAAACTACCAACGCTCCTATGAAGTTACTGCTCGCCGCCTTTTGGGTGCTTCTCCGGAACCAGTTGACAAGTATGTGTTTGCCTCTTTTTAAATTTAGTATATAAAGGTTGAAATTTCCATAATAACTACGTTTGGCAAGCGTGTCGGCGATCGCAGTATATACTCGCGGCTTAGACGCTGATCATCGTCAATGGTCTGGATATATCACTCTGTAACATGGGATGTTTATTCCGTCATATTTCTATACTTTATAGAAATAGGGTGATAAACTGGCTCACAGTGACGGTAAGTATATATTGTATCCCACAATTAGGAATCAAAATTAAGATAGTATATAGTAGTCATACCTGTGTTAACATTAAAGTTACAGCCTAAATACCACTGCTGGGCACTCATAACCGAGAGGATTTTAGGGCCAGGAAATCTCCGATGCGCTGCCCCAATTCGTGTTGGCGAGCTTCACATGTCTTAGAAATATGATTTTACCTATTTTTCAGACATGCAGGTGTCCTCACGATGTTTTCCTTTACCGCCGAGCATATGGTCACATGGAGCATATAATCAGCACTTAAAATTCTAATTAACAATTTCATTGGTGCCGGCGGGGATCGAACACGGGTTGCTCGCATACTGTAAATTTTACAGCGAGCGCTTAGTCCCTGAGCTACCACGGATCTCTTAGTGCCCGGGAACGAAGGTAGAATGCCTCCGTTACGCGTAAAAAGGGCCTCTGGTTCATTACACTCATCTTACGATACAGCATTAAGCTGCTATATTACGTTTTCCGCAAACAAATACAATCATGAATACATTCTGTGGAACCTTTATGCAGTAATAGGCAATTATGGTCAGTTTAGTGGCAAAGAAGATTTAATTGTGATTGATTACATAATCATGACACTGTTAATAAAACTTACTTAGGCTTACTTGCTATGAAGTGGCGGTGTCAAAGAATCCAATACCCCCGTATCACCCCTTGGGTTTCGTAAGAGGCGTCAGTAGGTAATAATAGAAAACAATGAATGGAAACTCACCTGCCAAGAGTAACAAGTATGGTAAAATTCATGTGAGGCTATCAAAGAAGGAGACCTTTGTTCAGCAGTCGAACTTCCATAAGCTGTAATGGATAGCTGGATGATTAGGAAATAAAATAGTAACTCAAGCTTTAATTTATTTTACTTTGATTTTACAGCTATTTTCCTATTAATTATAATAGTTAAAGTCAAAAAGTCTTTATTCTTTTATAAAATTATTACTGTGACAATCTCTATAACTCCCTATTCTATTCACAGATACACCTACCTACCAACAGCGCTTGACTTCTATCAAACCTCGCTGCGTGATCCCGTATTCTACCAACTTTACAGCAGAATTTTGAAATATTTCATTCAATACAAGGAATACGTTCCAACATACACTCAGGATATGCTTCAGTACATCGGAGTCAAGATTAACGATGTTAAAGTTAACAAGCTTGTCACATATTTCGATTTCTTTGACTTTGATGTTAATAACGGTGTATACTTCTCACCTGAACAACTGAAAACCTACAAATTCACTCCCTTCAAAGTGCGCCAACCACGCCTGAACCACAAACCGTTCACTGTTACCGTCGATGTTAAGTCCGACGTTGAAGGCGATGCTGTATTCAAGATTTTCATGGGTCCTAAATACAACGGTGAAGGCTATCCCATAAGCTTAGAAGATAACTGGATGAACTTTGTTGAGCTTGACATGTTCGTTCGCAAATTGAATGTTGGACAAAACAAGATCGAGCGAAGCTCAACCGACTTCTTATTCTACAAAGAAGATTCAGTTCCAGTTTCTGAAATCTATAAGCTACTTGAACAAGGAAAAGTTCCTGCTCACATGTCTACTGAAGCTGAATTTATGCCCTCAAGATTGATGCTACCTAAGGGAACAAAGGGAGGATTCCCCTACCAGTTCTTCGTGATGGTTTACCCCTACCATGGTGTGGAAAAAGTAACCGAGCCGATTGCAAACCTTATTGTTGACAACAAACCGTTTGGTTATCCATTCGACCGCCCAGTGAACGAGGCTTACTTCATGCAACCAAACATGTACTTCAAGGATGTATTTGTGTATAATGAAGATGAAATTTACCCATACCAGTACTCTTATCCCTACTATGTAGGTCACAGAACGCCATTCACTAAGTACTAAAGGAGAGAGAAGAAGCTTGTTGAACTATAAAATTGAATTAATGATTAATAAATGTGTATTTCTTATTTAACTTTCTTCTTTTATTTATTAATTACACTTCATTACATTTATTAAGTATACATAAATAACTTTTAGATTTACTTATTTCTTTAATATAACCACACTTGTTTCGAAAAATTTCCATCTACCTCATATTTTAATATAATAGACGAAAGTATTTCGAATCATTCATCAATATCTATAAAATATATAAAATTCCAAACACTCAAAAAAAATTCACTTGTATTTAGTACAAATAATGGCAATAATAATATTTTGAGCATGGGAAAATAAAAGCGCTTAATCATATAATGAATTGTGGCTAATTTCTCACTTATGTATACCACGCGTATAGAAATTAGCAAAATTAGAAAGTTACGTAAGTACATTTATTAACTCTCACGACTGTTACCCAGGGGGGTAGGCAGAGATTACGGATTTCCATTTGGCACGATCCTTTTATTCCCCTCTTACTTCCTTCACATTCTTATCATAATGAAACATAATAATATCTTGGAGCATGTATACGCTCCTCGGTAAGGTTTCGTAATGATCCCATTTGTACCGCATTAATTCTACTTTCAAGCTTCTTCTATCACACCCAAATTTCTTCACATAAATTTAAGTATATGGTAATGAGTAAAAATTGTTACTTACAACACAGCCACATAACGCTGCTATGTGGCCCCGTCGGAACCATGAATAGGGCGACTGGATTATTTCCATGTCAATACTTATCTTCCCGTACATAAATAAGGCAGAAGGAAGAGAGCATCCCTCCTGGCTCAGAGATCTTAGGGTGCGTACAGATCAAGTAACATGTTGTATAATTATAACTAAAGTATATTTTTATAACTAAAGTTATGTAACATTGTTTTTCAACATAGAATAACAATACAATATAATATTGTTACATGACATTGTCGTATGACATTGTCGTTTGTCGTTGCCCCGCGCGAAGCCTCCATCGCATCTCGAGTTATATAACATTCGTTTTATAACATTCAGCATCCACATTACTGAAACATGTTATGTTATATAATGTGTACGCACCGTTATATAAAAAATGAAGTTTCTAATAAAAGCCTCAGAATATGAAACTTTAGTGACAATAACCTATGATATATGTTTTATTATTAAACTGCTATGCAGAAACCTTACCATATTATTAATTGTATGATGGCAATGATAAGGCTTTTAGAAATTGAATACAGCATAGAAAATATAATTGAAAATTATAGGAGAATAATGGTTAAGGGAGCGGATTGCAAGCTAGGAAAATCGTAGGTTCGAATTCGCCTTTCGACTACTGTCATGAACCAATTCTTTGTTGCTAATATCGATATTAGTTAAAAAAAATAAACACTCGTTCGAAATAACCCATGCCCGACGTAACGTTCCTGTAACATTCTGAAATAATATCTTTTTAGTTTGTACAAGTGTTGGCTATGGCTCTTAATTTTTAAAAGAGCAGAAAACTTTCATCAAGAATTACCAAAAAGTTTTAATTCCTAAGAAGATTGCAGAAAAAGTTGAAAGGTTAAATGATAAACAGAGAAAAAATTATAAACAAGCTGTTACTGAATAAACGAGTATTTTATATTTTGTAAAAGAAAGTGTTGACTATAAAAGACTATTTTTGTACGTGGTAGAGCCATGCTGCAGCTATATTAGTAGTATAGTTGCAGCACGAATGGGTCGGCTCGACCGGGGAAGGACCACGCTCTCACAGAAAATCAGCGTAAAATAGCAGCTTAACGCTGCTGTGTTTCTGGTGAGTGTAGAGTGTAGAGTGTGGTCTATGGTGAGTGTAGAGAACCGGAGACCCTTTTTACTGGAAAAGAGGCATTCCATCTTAGTCCTCACGGGGGACAACGCATCTGCATCTTGAGTCTTTATTGAGGATAGATGTAGATGTCTATGGGTCACAGTTACCACTTACAATCAGGTGGACTGTGTGATCGTTTAGCACCCTATCCTATAAAAAAAAGGTGCATTCACAAGTTGATCAGGCACAGTTTTCTTCTAGACAGGCAACAATGGATACACTGTTGGTACTGGTAGGTCTAGTGGCCCTGGCATTATCAGAAGCCGCTTCACAACATCAATTCAACTATAAGACCAAAAACTGGTGAGTTCTTTTTCGGTGTACAAATGTTTCTTACCTGTTAAAATGTTTATTATAAATTATTGATGGAAAACAAGAAAAGGGAAAAACTATTTTTAATCTTTGTCAAACTGTAGCAAAATGTTCTGTATAGAAAAATCGGAAGACCTCATTGGTCTTGTGGTCGTAAGCGCGACTGCAGATTATGAGGTCCCGGGCTTGAATCACGGGGCGGCCCAAAGTTATTGTTTTTTTATGTTAAGAAATTCTCAGTAGCAGTTTAAAGTCAGAAAGTTGGCGGTGTTTCAATCTATAAAAAATCTCTGTGCACCGGAGAACATGTTAGGCAGTTGGTTTTGCGCCTGATCACGCTGCAGTCGTATCGTATTGCTGTCCCATAGGACTCATAGATTGCTATTATAGCCCTCTTCTGTAAAGCAAATATAATTTCAGTGTCAGTCGCGTCTCCCCATAGCAAAATACAATAAGACATTATGCTATGGAAATAGCTTAAGTAAATTTGTATAGCTGTTTCAAAACTGGTAAGGTATATCCAATATTTTTTACAGCATATGCTGCAGAAATAAGTCCACTTGCTGATTTTGATATATGAGGGGCCCCATTGAAGCTTCGCGTCTATTATAATTCCAAGAAAAATGGTGGCATCGACAAGATTCAGTTCCTCCCATTAAATGTTTCGAGTCATAAATTTCGTTTTAGTTCCATTTATATGCAAATTATTAATATTGAACCAATACACTAATTTAGATATACAATTATCTACTCTGTCATATTTTAGTAACTGTCGTTTTAATTTGAAAATTAATGAAGTGTCATCAATAAATAATACTACATCATGGTTATCAGAAACAGAAATGGGCCAAGAATTGAGCCCATTTCTACTATCGACCTGGAAGAGCTTATACTATTAATAACCACTTTTTGCGTTCTGTTGCTTAAATATGACATAATAAATTTAAGAACATCACTTCTTAAACCGTAGTACTGAAGTTTTTGGTTAGTTCACAGAATATGTATACCCAAAGCATCCTGTGAATTCTCCCATGCATTAAGTACATATTTAATCAGTCCAACACTGGCATCAGTTGTCGAGCGACCCCTTGTGAAACCAAATTGGTTTTTATGAAGTAAATTATTTATATTAATTTTTTTTTCCATTGGGTCAGTAATAATTTTATCAAAAATCTCACTAAAAGTTGGCAGTACGGAGATAGGTCTAAAATTGGCAGGGACTAATGTAATACCAGATTTAAATAAAGGTATTACTATACTATGCTTCATTACATCGGGAAACACACCCGATTCGATACTAGTATTAAAAGTAATAGCTAGTTGAGGCGCGATTGTATCTATTATAGACGCAATAACTTTAACAGGAATCCCCCACGATCTGCAGTTTTCTTTAAAATCAATAGTTTTGAAATATTTTACAATATCTTTTGATAATACTTTATGAAATGTAAAACTTTTTGTACACGCATTTACATTTTGTTGAGATAATGATTTGACGACGGCAGGAGAAGAATTCAGTAACTTCGTGGTTACGATCAGAATATCAGTAAAACATTTCTCAAAAATCATTGTAACATCCTGATCTGATTCAGTTAATTTGACTTTAAAACTTAACTGGTAGTTTGAATTGCGAGAGTTGACCATACCAGTTTCACCGTTAATTATACTCAACGTAATTTTAACTTTATTAGAAACCGTCTTAATTTTGTTGCTCAAATGCAAAGACTTGGTTGTGGAGCATACTCCTTCAAATATTTTTTAAATATATTTTTACGTATTTTCTATATTTCACACTTAGATAATATAACATTTCATGGTAAAGTGTTTTCTTTTATATGAGTGGAGGCAAACGAGCATACGGCTTACTTGATAGTAAGTGACTGCCGCCATCCATTAACAACTGCAACACCAGGGGAATCGCAGATACGTTGCCGGCCTTTCAAAAATAATAGGCTTTTTTCTTGAAGGTTGTATATGTAGGTCCGGTAAATTGCTGGTGTTATTCTATTCCACAAGGAAGTTGTACCAGAAAGAAAACTACTTCTAAATCGCACAGAAGTGGGCCGCCAATCATCCAGATATTTCGAGTTCTATCACGAACTGGAATGAGCTGGCACTTCGGAGAACCGGCCCAAAGATGAGAACATTATACCATGTGCAACCGAACCTGCGCCTTGTAAAGTTGCAAGTGGTGTGCCGGCAAGAAGTATTGTTCCGCTCTGCTGGGCACGCCAAGTCTTTTAGAGGCCAATTTGGCCTTCTCTTCCAAGTGATTACCAATCTGCACGTCATTCGATATGTCGACGCCGAGGATTCCGATACTGGCTGAGGCAACAAGGGGAGTGCCTTGAAACTGAGGAGACATGACAAAGGGGTTCTTTTTAGCGGTAAACGCGCATACTTGTGTCTTATGGGGATTCAACTGCACTAGATTTAGTCGCCCCCAATCCGAGACTATTCAACAAAGTGTAAACTTCAAACACAAGTTTGTTTCGGTACTCGTTGACGTTTTCCCGAAAAATATTTGCACGGCCGGTGTATAAAGCATCATCAGTGCTGTCGTCCGCATAGCAATGAATTTTACCGGTTTATAACATATAATTGTTATGCAGAAGAAACAGCGTCGGTGACATCACGCAGCCTTTTGGAACACCACCGTTAACAGGCTTGTAATCGGAGCATGCACTATCTACTACGACCTTGATGCTCCGATCAGCCAGAAAACTGGTGATCTAATTGCACAATTTCTCGGGAAGCCCATAGGAAGGAGCTTTGAAAGAAGCGCTATGTGCCAAGTGTGATATAGGAAATATGTCAATAA